CCTTTCTGTTATGAAATTGTGGTGACGGATGCTAGGTTTGCAAAAACATCACTCCTTGGAAAAACAGAAAATTGGTAGCCCCAAGGCAATCTTCCAAAATTTTTTTTTCATTTTTGGTAATTTCTGGCCCAGGCCAGTGGTCGGCAAACGCGCTCGCGAGCCACATGCGGCTCTTTGGCCCCTTGAGTTGAGTGTGCTCTTCACAAATACCACGTGCGGGCGCGCACGTACAGTGCGATTGAAACTCGTGGCCCGTGCGCAGAAGTCGGTATTTTGTGGAAGAGCCACACTCAAGGGGCCAAAGAGCCGCATGTGGCTCGCGAGCCACAGTTTGCCGAGCCGCAGTTTGCCGACCACGGGCCCAGGCGATCTACGTGGGAGAACTATTTGTCTACAGCACCCTCTGAACCATCTAGTTACCACAATGGTGACCAGCCCTGGGGGCAACAAATAACCCATAGAAAATTTAACTCTAATTTTAATCATTACTCAGGGGAGAGGGGGGTGAAAAATTCTATGGTCTAGAAATCTTTGGTCTGTAAGTTCCTGGTTGCTCTAGAACTTTTCCCTTTACCCACAGGCCCCTCGTCACACCCTGTCCACCCCGGCCCACAAAGCCATCTCTGCCTGGACACAGCTGATAGAGTTTGGGGGTTCTGTAACAACCTGTGCTCTCCCCATCACTAATCTGGGAACCCCAAATCAAGACCATCCTGGGATTCTGAGAGGTTTATGGCACCAAAGGCTCTAGAGCAGCGGTTCTCAACCTGTGGGTCGCGACCCCTTTGGGGGTCGAACGACCCTTTCACAGGGGTCGCCTAAATACATCCTGCATATCAGATATTTACATTACGATTCACAACAGTAGCAAAATTACAGTTATGAAGTAGCAACGAAAATAATTTTATGGTTGGGGGTCACCACAACATGAGGAACTGTATTAAAGGGTCGCGGCATTAGGAAGGTTGAGAACCACTGCTCTAGAGAATGAGTTACAGTATTTTGTCCACTGAAATTCCAATGAAATAAATGCCCAAGACTAGCTTCTGGCTTCAGCAGCGTCTCACCCAATCCAGGTGATCCTCAAACCCATCCACTCAGAACAGCCCAACTGTGTGGCTGCCTGAAGAAGCCAAAGCCAGGGAGGGTCATATGCGCCCCCAGGTCTCCAAACTGAGAACAAAGGCAAGAATATCAGCTGGGTCCTAACTGGTTTGGCTCAGTAGATAGAGTGGCGGCCCACGGACTGAAGGGTCCTGGGTTCGATTCTAGTCAAAGGCATGTATCTTGCCCTTGCAGATACATGCAGGCTCGATCCCCAGTGCAGGAGGCAGCTGATCAATGTTTCTCTCATTGATGTTTCTAACTCTCTATCCCTCTCCCTTCCTCTCTGTAAAATCAATAAAACATATTTAAAAAGAAAAAAAAACCAGCGGGGATAGGGCATGACAGGCCATCAACTATTTAAAAGATTTCTCAACTAAGAATACATTAATATTTTAGAGTAAAATTAAAAACCCCCATTTTCCCAGGGATTCCATACCTACCTTTAACTGTATGCTACCTAAAATTTCCTTTATTTAGGTTTTCCCCAAAATAAATTAAAAAAAAAAAACCACTTCAGTTAAAAAAGAAATCCATAAACACTAAATTTTTTAACACCTTTATTTACTTTGTCTCTCTAACAGAGTTAATCAGTAACAGATACTATATCTGTTGTGAAGAAAGTTAATTTCCCAGATTAAATATGCACTAAACATATACCTGTGACAATATTTTGAGATATATGACGCTAATAAAGGTAACATTTATTGGGCCAGCCACTGGGCCACTGGGCACATTACTTAAATTACCTCAGTTAATCCTTACAACAAGTCTATAAAGTAGGTGCTATTCTTGATCCCACTTTATAGATGAGGTTATAAATGAGGAACCATGACTGTAATTTAATCTCCTCTGACCCAAAACTTAAGGTCAGTGTTTACTCTGGCTATAAAAAGGTTGAATGAGCAAATTAGAAATAAAACAGAAATGCAGAAGGCATACTTAATCTCCTAGAAGGTCCTAGGTTTTAAGACATACTGAAAAGCAGAAGCTAATTGCAAGCATCCCAACAGGAACTGTTTGGGAAGATTCCGTCTGAAACTACACTGTGTTAAAACACTTTAAAATTCAGACTTTTACTAGTTAAGAGCAGGTTTCTTCTCACTACTACCCCCAACACTTAACCCAAATTAGTAGTATTGCTACAGATGATACAATATAGTGGATGTCAGCTGCCACTCTCCCAGGACCCATTTTCCTCCCTGAACAGTACCCAGAGCTCCGTTTATTTGTGGCCCTACCTCCCCCAGTCCTGGTGCTTTGGAGAAAGCTGACACACTCCCCTCAGGAGAAGAATAGGCCAATCAGAAGGAAAAAAAAAATCTCCCATCCCCACCAATCAACAGAGGGCATTTGCCTGGCCATTGGGATTGGCTAAGGAATAAGCACATGGCTCAATTCAGGCCAATGAAATGCCAGGGTTGGTTTGCTGGGGAGGGATTTCTGGAAAAGACACTTTCTCCGTCTTTTTTAAGAGTTACTAGAAGTGATGTTTCTTTACTTCTGGCCACTGGGATATGCAACAAAGAGCCCAAGAACTTGCATAGCCATCTGCCCCCTTGAGAGAAGCCAACCTGAGAATGGACTGACCCCCCTTGTAGAGTGAGCAGAGAGGTGGAGAGAAACTGGACAGCCGATGGCTTGCTGAGCTGCCGTTTCTCACCTGCCCTGCAGTCCATCCCATGAGCGGATTCATTAGCCCCTGTGCTGGGGGAGGCCCTCCGAGTTTGGTTTTTTGACAGTCACAACCCCAAAGAATCCAAACTGACAAGTGAGAAATAAGTACACATGCACAGCTTCTTCCAAGTGCAACCTCAGATTTTGCTTTACACTGTTCCTCCCTTTGTTCTCAAGAAAACGCAATGGGCTTTCCAGAAACACTTTCATGAACTAATGAATGGCCTTGGGCAAGTCGCCTTTTCAACTATAAAAAGGTCTAAGTTTGACTAGAGGATTTCTGTTGTTCCTTCTGGCCCTCACAGCCAACAGTTTTGATTCCACAGTAGAAATCCTATATAATAAAGAGGTGATATGCAAATTGACCATCACTCCAACACACAAGATGGCCAACCCCATGTGGTCAAAGATGGCCACCACAAGATGGCCGGCAGGGGAGGGCAGTTGTGGGTGATCAGGCCAGCAGGGGAGGGCAATTGGGAGGGACCAGGCCTGCAGGGGAGGGCGGTTGGGGGGGACCAGGCCTGAAAGGGAGGGAAGTTAGGGGCAATCGGGCTGGGAGGGGAGGACAGTTAGGGGCGACCAGGCTCACAGGGGGAGGGCAGTTAGGGGTGACCAGGCCTGCAGGGGAGGGCAGTTGTGGGGGACCAGGTCTGAAAGGGAGGGAAGTTAGGGGCAATCAGGCCAGCAGGGGAGGGCAGTTAGGGGCAATCGGGCTGGCAGGGGAGCAGTTAGGCGTCGATCAGGCTGGCAGGGGAGTGGTTAGGGGCAATCAGGCCGGCAGGCAGGTGAGCGGTTGGGAGCCAGCAGTCCTGGATTGTGAGA